CAGGGATACATTAATGGTCCATTACGTAAATTAATTAGATCTCTTGCCCTGGAGGGCCCAGAAAAAGGCAGTAAACCAGAAATTTAAATCGTTCTCCAAGTGTGTCAAGTTGAGGTGCTTGAAAACAGCATATCCATTTCTTCTAGCTCAGTTTTCTTGACCTTTCAGTTCTTTCTTGGCATCTTCTGAATCGTTAAAAATAAAATCCTTATGAGGGCACTGGCAAGTGCTTAGGAAAGCTCATTATGGCAGCCTTCTACATTCAGCTAGTAAAGCGATAAAAGTCAGGGTCGAAATGGGAAAGGATAACCGTACACTTTGGGAAAGGTGGCTGTCCAGTTGCTGTCCTGGGAAGCCAGGTGAGCTAAGCTGTTTCCCTCCAGAGCAAAGAACCGTGCGGGCAGGTCTCCCCGGCACATCACTGTTACGCTCCTGAACACAGTAACCCTGCAGCCAGGGAGCCCTCCTGCTAAAAGTGCATTACCCAAATCTCAGAGAAGAGTCTGCAATTCATTACGGGTGAGATTCTGCTGCCCTGACCCTGGCTGGGAGCATGGCTGTGTTCCTTGAAGGGTACGATGCTGTTCAGCATGGGGAGGGTAGCAGAATCTGGGCACTTGAAGTAGCTAAAATAATTGTGGTCTTCTGAAAATTCCCAGTAATATTCAGATTGTTGTTTGAGCTGCTTTTTAATTAGGGCTATGTATTGAATGGACATTAGTGCAGAAGATTCTGTCTGCAGTATCTCTGTCTCATTTGATAGCTTTCAGGATTATTGCATTTAAAGACAGTATACATACCATTTCACAAGCCTATTGTCAATCTTTTAAATGTATTGAAAATGATTATGAAATGAAATCTGTCTCTGTGGCTTTTGTGACATTATCTTCTTCAAATGAATTGAACACCACCTTTGCCTCGTTTCTTCCAGCCCTGCTGTATTTCTGGTCTATGACGCCTCGTCATTAGCATTCTGAATGTCTTGATTCTGCTATTATCCATCACTTTCCATTTCAGTTTTCTCAAGGTGAAATCTCTCTGCTAACTCAGAAAGCTTTCTGTCTTCATTATGTATAAGTTACTTTGCCCAAAGACTAAAAAACCTGAACGTAAGATAAAGGTAAGGCCTAGCCACATTTTTTGCCAGAACAGTAAATGCAGGGGGTAAAAGGGGTAAGGAAGGAAGCATAAACATTTAACTTTTTCCTTCTGGGTTTTTTTTTGGCGGGGATGGGGGGTCAATTGAAGGTTATTTTCCAAGAAGGTGCAAGTCTAATGAGCTGAGAACGTTTTCCTTGCATAACTGTTTTCCTGGATCTGGGCATTTTTTTTAAAAACACCATCACCGTGCTTTAAATAACCATGTCTCCAAATGAACTTAGCAATGGGGAAAAATATCCTATTCTTAACTGGCTTGGAAGGATACCAGGGAATAATTCTTGCACAGCTAACGTTTTTCATATTCATTAAATGTGTTTGCTCAGTAAGCCAGACACTGTATTATGTCTACTACACTACTATATTAGAATTACTCTGATGTCTTTCTTCCCATCTTATGAATTACTTCATGAATTACCAGCTTGATCAGTGAGACAGTAATAATGATGAATGCATCTGTTTATTTGCAGAACAAGTATCAACTATTTTTTAATTAGGGAGTGGCACTGTTAATTGATGGGTGCCCTCTATGTTCTATGTGTTCAAGGGAACCTTCCTTACTGTTTATTATTACTAGACATAGAGAAAGCTGGAGCAGTGCAGAGTACAGGTCTGCCTTCCTGGCAGTTGACATGGCTGTGAATACAGTAGACGGGACTTTGTTTTTAACGGCGATCCATTTGGTCCAGCTCAGGAAGGTTTTACATTTTGTTTAGTATCTAAGTTTAAGCTCCCAACTTCTGATAGCTACAGAAATACAAACTAAAATCAAATCTCTGCATTTAATGACCTTAGTGAGTAATATAGTCACACCCATATAACCTTGCTTTCCATCAGCAAAAATTAATCAAATAACAGCATGAGTGAATTCATTACTGAACCTACAGTATAGATGACAGTAAGGCAGAGGTCTCTTGAGTGGTTCTGTGCCTCATTTGACTAGTTACCAGTTTACTAGATGGGAATTTTCCTGAATGAATATCTCATAGGTGATGACCGTGGAAGGTGGCAATAACCTTAGATGCAGAGCAGATTTGGGAGCAAGAACCACATCTAAATAAGGAGAACAAACAGGGGGGGGGATAAAGGGCATATGGAAGTACTGGAAATGGATTTACTATTTTAGCATTGTACCTTGTCCCTTACACTTAAATAGAATTTCATTTATAGTATCAGCTGAATGGCTGTGATTTCACTAGTTTGGCAGCAGATTCTACCTGTGGAGCCTTTCCAACCTCTGCTCTGTTCTTTTTTTAAAACTCAGTGCAGGTATAGGCTGCTTTAGTTTGTTTTTCTAGCTATCAGAAATGCATTCAGAAGTGCAAAAAATGGATCATTCCCAATATTTCTTGATAATAGAAGCTTTGCACAGAAATGTTCATCTTTCATGGTATTCTTAAAATGCGTGGAGCAGATTTTATCTGCAAGCACTCATGGGTCTCAAGGACACATTTTACAGTTTAAACATGAATATTTGACTATTCTTATCAAACATAGAACTCTAGGTAATTATTAGTTTATTTAAGCCCAAACCCCCACGCTGAATTAATGCCTTCACTATTTTTTTCCTTGCTTGTTTTCCATATTAGTGTAGATACTTACCTTTTGTAAGAACAGAGGAAGGGACAGTGGCACGTACCATGGGAGCAGCAAGACAGAGAGAGGGAAGTCACGCACTGGAAGCCTTCCCAGGCTGCGGCCGGACTCCAGCCAGTTTGCTGCCCCGCGAAGCTGGAGCCTGCTCTTCCTCTCAGTTTTAGCAGCTTGTATCGGTCCTCTGGTACTGATCCCGATCCTCCCTTCACCATCGGTAGTTGTGTGGCTGGGCACATGCTGTTGGAAAATGAGCCGGATTAAAACTAGCTCAGGAGAAAAAATAGTAAAACCATTTAGGTGGGAAGGAGTGGCTGGGACAAATGGAAGGATTGCTTCCGCCTCCATTTGTACTCGTGTATGTGAGCTTCACGTGTTTATAGACGAGTGTATATTTTTGATGACAATATATTCTTGCTGTGCAACTTAAAGTAACACAGTGCTGAAAATTCAGACAGTGTATGAAAATACATCACTGATTTGCTGTGTAATCTTAAGCAAGTCATTTAGCTATCACCTCATGCGTCAGCTTCAAACTGGATATTACTGGAAACCAGCTCTTATATTTGCATTTTTTTTCCCCAGAAAATACATTTTTACTTCCGTTTCTCCTCTCCTGAAACTCTGAAGTTCTTTAGGACTCCAGATAGGTTTTGTGCAGTCTGCTAATGCTAGCTCGTTTCTACTGTAGCCCCACCTGACTCGTCAGGTACAGTTGAGGCTTTGGATTGCCAAATTCCCATTGACAGACTTTGTGACCTACCTTTGGACATAGGTTGCAACAGTCAAGAAAAAAAGCAATGAGAAAAATACCTGGTAGAGGACAGTGGGGTCACTGGTTATAAATAGGAAGAGTTGCTCCAAAAATAGAGTAGTATGTGGAGGTGAATAACCTCAGACTATTTCAGGGCTATTGAAAGAGGTCTCTTTTTTCCTTCTTCTTCTTTTTTTTATCTCCCAGAGATAGAAGAATATTGCTGAATAAGGAATGTCTGATCCCATTTACTTCCCAGCTGCCAAATCATGAGTACTTGGAATCAGTTTAAGTGTCCTTCAGTACATATAGTTTATTGCATAGGCCCATTAATTCATTTGTTTTTCCATTGTGCAATTTTGTATGATGGTCGTAATACAGCAACAAAGCTCAATCTCCAGAGATTCATTGTTCTGTAACAGTTCTGAAAATTAAGTGCCCAATATCTATAACTATTAACTTAAAAGCTATTTCTTCCTACATGTGTGCAATGAAAAATAGTCTCTGAATAATGAATATCATTCCAGTATTTGATTCACGTCTGAAAGTAATTTTACAGAATTTTGATTTATCTTGTCAAAAATACCTCTTGTATGTTTTCTGACTCATTTCTGCTTAACATATGCAGTAGGGCATTTTGAAATGGCAGTGAGTGAAACTGATATAACCCATAAAAATAGATGAATGGTGTTAAGCCATTTGATTCAGGCACGTAATCACGAGCTGGAGTATTCCTTCAGCCTCCGCATCGTTCTTTCATGTAAACATGCTAGCACGTGGCTGTATTCAGTAAACACTTCCCCAGTGCATTTCGCTAGCCGTGAAGATGGTCAGTACCACATTTGAGCAGACCTGTTTTTCCTGGGCTCTGTACAGCTTCAGGAGCCTGTCAGAGTTTTTACTTACCATAGCCTCTGGACTACTGGGGGGAGATATTCCTCTCACCCACAGCTACTGGAAACTGTGCTACCTCCAGCTGCGCGTGTCCGGGATCCTGCAGATCACTTCCAGCTCCACCATCCGCATTCCATGCTCCCCTAGGCAATTGCTGCAGGTGCAGCGCTGACAGTACAGTTCTTGAGACAACGCATGCACTGTCTTATGTCTCCAGTTATTCAGGAAAAAAAAAAAATTACTAACCCCTCTAATAGCAAGATGGAAATTTTGAAACTGTTTATTCCATGCCACAGGACCCATGTTGTCATTTAGCTTTCACTATGCTGAAAACAAAGCCAAAGGCTCCCCTATACGTTCCCCCTCTACTTTATTGTGTTTGAGGTGGAAGGGTAATTCTGCCTGGCAAGGGTGACTGGATAACAGCTGCCTTTGACTTCCAGGTTTTTTTAGTGCCATCGTGGTGGCTTAGTGTGTGCAGAACACTGTGACACAATGGAGAAAATGGGATTTGATTTCTTTGAAATTAGAAAAAAATTGTGATTCTTTCCTTTTGAGGACAATTGCCAGCAAACCAAATCAATTCTGTTTTATTTTTAAGACTTGGAAGGTTTTGACTCTGTAATACCAATTGCTGAGAAGCTTAATCATCCAACCACAACCAGACCAAAAGCTACTGGCAGGCGACCACCCTCCCAGTCTCTCACATCTGTAAGTTAATTTTCCTTTTCTTTTAAAAATATTTTTTTCTGATCTTTCCCCCCCGCCCCCTATTTGTGTTCCCTGGTGGTTTTACTACGTTTGCACAGCCATTCCTTCACATGTACAGTGAGGCAGAGAGATGCAGCTCAGGAAAACTAGTGTCAAAAGGCTGACAGTGTTTTGAATACTGATGTTTAAAACGTTCCCTCCCTCATAAGATTTGTACCCCCTTATTTGGGTGCTGCCAAGTATTCCTTGCCAGCCATGACTGAGGCCAGAAAAAGCCTTTGTAAAAATCTTTGGAATAAACTAGGCTGTGCTAAGTATTAAGGATTTTAAAGGTGTTTCCCAAAAGAAGCGTTTCCCTTGGTTTCTCTAGAATATTTACCAGATTTTGAGGACGAACAGACCATTTCAGCCTACAACAGCTCTCCTTGAGCCATCATGTGTTTCTTCTCGTTACATTCACAATTGTAAATATAAGGGTGATTCAAATTTCACTCTCTAATATGTATCTTTAGACCAGTTGGTCTCATAAACCATACTTTGGAAGCCACTGCTTAGTTTTTCAGTGTCTTTTTCTTTGGGATTTGGGGTTTGTTCATTTCTGTGCTTTTTTGCATTCTGGAACATCAGAATGAGAACAACTACTGATGGTTACCTCTGTTTATGTTGCTGAAGAAAAACAGAGTGGAGGGAAACAAAAAGGATTATGGTGAAACTAATAGAACACAAAAAAGAAAGCTTTCAAAATTGACCACGTACATAAATACAGACCCATAAAAGACAAGTAAAAAGGTTTTTCTTCCCCTGTCAGCCCTATGGGGGAAGGAACCAGGGGTGGAAAGAACCTTCCCCGTTTGCACTTCTACCAAGAAGCCGTGCACAAGGCAGCCCTGCCGTGCCACCAGCGTGCGAGGGGAGCAGCCAGGTGAGCCCTGCCCTGAGCACAGCCACGGCAGAGCTGCCCAGGGACAGAGCTGGCAGCCCGCAGCACCCGGCTCTGCGTCCTCGCCAGGGGAGGTGCAGCTCTTCTTGTGGACAGGAGGCTGCTTTCATCTTGTAACGCAGTGCAAGGATGGCAATTAATGTTGAATCCAACCCTCGAGTACAGCTTATTTCGTGAACGCTTTGAAAGCATTCTAGCCTTGAAAATAAGATGTCAAAAAGGGGGGTGAAGGGGAGGGAGAGTCCTGATTTTACGTATTGTTACTTTGAAAATGATAACTAAAAAAAAAATAAAAAAATTCACTGCATAAATGCTTTTCTTCTTCCTTCGTTAAGTTCTTGTACAATGAAAATACCTGCTTTTTTTTCTCCCTCTCTTGTGGTGTGCATGTTTGTCTACATAGTCATCCCTTTCAAGCCCTGATTTCTTTGACTCACCAAGTCCTGAAGACGAGAAGGAGGAACATGTTTCCATTACTCACAAAGCTATTGAAGCATCAAGGAAATCAAGAACGGTTACAATATCACAAGTAAGTTAATTGGAATGCCTCTGCTTAACCTTATCACGTGCATCTTCTTTTTTTAAAACAGTATTTTATTTTTTTTTAATTTAATTCAACAGTCAGGGTTACTAAAGATTGTTCTGTGTTTGAAATGCAAGTCTAAAGTGAATTGCACAGTTAAAATGTCTCCATAACCATACTGTGAAAAAAATCTTTCTAGTATAAATACATTTCACAGAATCAGAGAAGCTAGGGAAATAAATTTTAGAAACAAAGGCCCTTTTTTTGCAGCTGTAAATTGAGTTTACATTAGAAGTGTCTGTAAGCAGAGAAAATACAACTCTTTGACCCACTCTAATAGTATGTAGATTTAAATTTGCATGTATAATTGCTTTTTATACTGGTATAATTGTGTTCATTTTATAGGCTTTTGCCATTTTTACTGTGTATTGGTAGAAAACCACAGGATGATCGAATATTACAGAAGAAGTGTGTAGATCAGGCTTCAGAGGTTGGAGCTAGTTTTTAGTACATAAGGATACCTTTAATATTACAACTATTACATTCTAATAGTGTAACAAACGTATTTGAAAGATGAAGTCACGCACTTCTGTGATCAAGTTGTGAGGATAATGTTTTGTTACATAGCTCCCTCTTCTGGGAGCCCTTGCATTACGGAATACTCTTGGGCCAACATTTGTCAATTAGATGCTGGTATGCCAAGGATGTAGATGTTCCTGTAAAACAAGATGACTGCTGCCAGAAAGTAGCTGCTAGAGGCTTTAATGTTGATAGCCAGTTAAGCACTGGAATAAGGGGCTCAGCGTGGATGACTCCCGTTGTGCCTTGCTCACTTGCTCCAGGTTTGAGCTCAGCCGGACGTCTCTTTTCAATCCAAAGGAAACTTGCATCTACTGATATAAGGATTATTATGTATGAAAGATCCATTTATAGGTACACATTACTCACACATGCACACACATATATAAAAAATGTGAAAAGAACATTATTAAGGTGATGAAGTCAACCACTCAAGCCACTGGCGTGATTCAGCTTTCTTGTGACTATAACGCCACTTTTATTTCTGTGGTCGTGCTGTTTTTTCTGCAGAATACTTTTTTTATGCAGTGCTTGCCCAGGACAGGTTCTGTACTCAATCATGCTCCTGTAGTGGGGAAGACTGTTTTTTGCAGAACTCGGTGGATCCTGCTCTGCCCTCCCCATCACACTTTCTCCTAATTTCATCTGACCACTAACTTTTCTCTCAGTTACCTTGTCCAGCTAATGCCACTACCCCAGTCCCCCAGTCCTCACTTACAATGTGTCTTTGCATTCCCATACCATTTTTTCTCAATATCTTACCCTATTTGCCATTCAACTTCAGTATCTCTTTTCCTGAGATAGACTTGGAGGGTTGCCTAGTGCTTTTTCTTACTCTTGGCCAAATCAGATTTTCAGATACTCCTGGTAGCTGTCGTATAATGCACACATTAACATTGCCAAATAACAATATGATAAATAATTAAGACTCACCTTACTTGCCATTGTGCTAACTGTACTTGTACACTTCGGTGTATGCAGTGAAGTAGGTAGTGGTGTATGGTAGATGGACTTCAGATTTTCTATGCCTTATCTAATAAGTAGAGCACTGGATTGCAATTCAAGAAGCATGGGATCCTTCTGAGCTATAGCCACATGCTTCCAGGGTAACTCGGTTAATGCTGCGTTTTTCTGTTAAGTTTATGGAGGAATAAAGAGCCATCGGTAGTTAATGGGAATTGACAGAAGCTTCAGTTAACAAAGGATGGTACAATACATTTATTTCTTACATTATCATTTTGAAGCCATGGGATTTTGGGTTTTTTTTATATCATACCAACAAGCAAACTGAAGGAATATTTTGCTATTTTTGTGATGCTAAGGGCAACGTGTAACACATTTTTTTAATTTTTAAAAAAAATTGGATGTTGAAGATTCCTTCAATGGTTAGTTGACGATCATAAATTTAATCTGCAAAAAAATACAACTCGGATTCTTGATCATGCAGTTTTGTGCTCTGCAGGAGACGTCCATGGGTGTAGGTATGTTCTCACAAACTTCTGACAGAAACACTGAGCGTCTGTCCCTGGTTCATTTCACTGCTAGGTCTGAGATCTTGGAAACACTTATTGCTGACTGGTTGTAGCAACTGTGGAAAGCCTGACCGAAGCTGTCTGAACTTCTGCATCCCAGCTAGAGCCCCTCTGATGTACATGTACAAAGAGAATGACTAATTGTTATATTTATTAAGCTTTGACCAAAACTGTCCATGTTTGACATGGACTTCCAACATTATGAAAAAGCAGCGAAACAATATTTGTTAGAGGTCTGATTTTCATAAAGCTTTCTCCAGACATTAAATGTTACTCTTTTTGTTGCAGGTGTCTGATAATAAAACTTCCTTACCTCCAAAACCAGGAGGTTTGGCTAGTGGCAGTAATGTGCAACCATCACTATCCCCTTCACCGTCACCTGGATTTCACTCCATTGCTATGGGAACAACAGGCCACAGGTCAAATTCCCCATCCCTGTTTGGTACTGAAGGAAAGCCAAAGACTGAGCACTTGAGCCAAGGTCAGACTGCCCTGGAGGAGCTGAGAACACAAATTAAGGAGCTAAGAACCATCATTGAAACCATGAAAGACCAGCAGAAGTAAGTACTGCAAATCACAACTGCAGGTGGGATGCATCCGTCCATGCATGGTGGTGGCAGTTCCTTCCTGACCTTGCCTTCATGTCTGTTACTCTGCACAGTGTGCCTTTGTGTTTGTGAGTGATTTTTGTCTGACAGAACACGTTCGGGGTGAGAAGGTCAGGCAAAAAGATTGGCACTATCCATCTGTAACTGCTTTTTTTTCCTGTGTTATGACATAAGCAGATGTTTGTGGGGTGTTGAAAAATTTAAGTTACAAGCTATAAGTGGTGAATAAGCTTCTAATGTGGTTTTATTTGCCAATAACTATTTGGGAACTCATGTGCATTGATCGTAATAAGGGGCGCATTTGTTCTAGCTGTAGTAGGAATTACTACAAGTTCCTGAAATTATTAAATCGATTTGTTGTTTGACTGTTAGCACATTTTCCCATGAAGCTCATATTACTAAAGAAGTAACTGAATTGTCATTAGGACATTTGAAGACCTTTGTGTTTATGACCCTGAATCTTAATATTTTAGTGTTGGGCATCTTTATTTTCTTTAAGCTGCTCATTTCTTAGGAGAAACTGGGGCTGGCATGTAGCTTTTGCTATTCCTGAGAATATTTAATGTTTTGGAAGCTAAACCTTCACTTACATCGTCAGTTGTGTGTAGCCCAGGCAGGAAAAAGAAAAGGGAAAGCAGCGTGCAGAGACTGTGGCGGAACAGAGGTGTGCCGGGAGTTTGGGAGAAGATGCGGGAGGGCATGGCTGAAGCTGGATCTAGCCAGCGAGCCCCACGGCTTCGCCTCTTAGGCCGACCCCTGCTCCTCCGGTCTCCCCGGCCCTTCTCGCAAGGGCTGCTTCCACCTACTGGTTTCTGTCTTAAGGTGAGATCAGTCAGTGGGGACATGAGAAGGTGTCTGCTCTTCCCGACAAAGAAGGATGACAGCAAATCCGTATTGGGGATCGTTAAGTCTTTAAATGAAGTTGAAGGTTACATTGCATTGCTGGCGTAAACAGCTTTTCAGGGGGTTAAGTATGGGGCAGGATTTGTGTTACCCGTTCCTACAGCCCACCAACAGCCAATCCATCTCCATTTTGTATGGAAAAAAAGGCAACCGGGTGCTGATGCCGTGTTGATACTGATAGTCCAGAGCAAAGCCTGTGGATGCAGGGCTGTTGGGAGGAAATATATTATGCATTAGCCACATGGGGTGTGGAGGGTACTGTCCTTACTATAGAGAGTCTTACTTGTCTGTAGTATAGCATACAGTATACAAGAGTAGGCTGACTTTAATTAGTTGTTCAGAGGAAAAAAGGTAACTAGTGAAGCAGAGAAAATATGTCTCCAGGAGGTGATCTTTTGTATTTTACTAGTTTAATTGTTTACATTCCAAGCTTTTTTTGCATTCTTTTAACAGAAAAGAGATTAAACAGTTGCTGTCTGAGTTGGATGAAGAAAAGAAGATCCGTCTACGATTGCAGGTACTTAAATTATTTATAATGTTATGGAAGTATCGCCAGCTTTGATTTAGCCTCAGGGTATGGGACATAAAACTCTGCTAAGGTACTTAGATTCGAGTGAATCGAAAACTACTAACATCTCTGAAAGGGATATACCTGTTCCCTTCATAGTGTTGCCAGTCTGTGTCATATACATTGCAATACTGGGTTCTTACTGAAAAGCCTGATAATTATCTAAAAATCTATAGGCACAAGTACACAAAAAAAAAAAAGAAACACAATATAGGATTCAAACTATGATATTTTTTAGTCTCAGTTCTAATGGTTTGATTTTGTCACAAATGAAATCATGTCTTCTTAAATTATTTGCTCTTTCTCAAGGCTTTATATTTTGTAGTAGGCTTGTCTTAGCGTTGATATGCTTGGAATATTATTTCATATAGCAAGATTTTTATGTCTGCTTTACAGACTGTACGCAGGTTGTCTTTACTAAAGCATCCTAAACAATATGAAAGAAGGTGCTCTGATGAAGAGCCCAGTTACTGCTGCCGTAGTTTCTATAGTACCTGAGCTCTAGATGTTGTCATGCTGGCTTAGTCATTTGCCAGGTAGCACGCTGCCCTACTTGTGCGAGAATCATGGAGCTGGGCCTTTGCTAGCATCATTGACTGTGCTGCTTTGATATGAAATGATGCTGCAACTGCTTTTCTGGGTTTGGGAAAGTGATTTGGACAACTCCCTTAACAACATGCTTTAACTTGGTCAGCCCTGAATTAGTCAGGCAGTTGGACTACATGACTGTTGTGGGTCCTTTCCCCTACTCCATTCCATTCTATTCTATTCTGATGTACTGGATAAGTGGTTTAGTATTCATTATATTTTATATTTTTATGGTATAGGTCAACTACTTTTTTCTTTGTACTAGGGATAGAAAAGCGAATTGTGATTTCCCTGGGCTGTTCCTGCTCAGTGAAGTGCTTGGGAACATGGAAAAGGGTGGCAGAACTGGGGACCATCAATGTCTGTGCTCCAGGGCTGCCTAAAGGACTTTATGTGTGCAACCACATAGGAGTATGGCTTCTAGTAACACACAGTTCATGTTCAGCTAAAATTGAAATTTATTCAGATAAAATCAATGAACATTTTTGATAGCAGTTATTGATTTAGTCTAACAGACCACACTGTTCAGAGGTCTGGATTCTACCTCCAAGGATGGCTTTACATCTTTATACAGAAACCTGTATTGATGGTTTTAAAATGGTGATCTCATAGCTGAATGCTTTTACTCCAGTTCAAATGTTGCTTATACTGGTAGATGTTCAGATGCTAGCTGAGGTGGCATTACTAGCTTTACATGAAGATGAGAGTTCAGCAAAGAAAAGTTGCATTAGTTTAAGAGTGCTCCGATAGTCCTAAGGTAGCACAGCTCTCAGTCCATGCATTAAAGAAGACTGCCTTGAGGCCACGGCGCAGCTGAGCACTGTGGGTGTGTTTGAATAAATCCAGTACCTACACCTCGGGGTTTCCAGTCTCTGTCAGAGGGGCCAAGTGTACAACTAGGGCCAGTGATGGTTTCAGCCACATCCTTTTACCACATGGCTGTAGATCCATCAGAGCCCTTAAGGTGCCTGGACCAAGCTTGATGGGTGTAGAAGGCAACCGCCATCCCTACAGCAAGAACCATCCCTATAGGAGAGGAACAATAGGTTTTGCGCCTCAGCTACCAGTGCTCACAGTCAGCAGTTCAGTTTACTTGTGCCAGGTGTAAGTGCAGCAGCTGGTACACGGACACAGTGCTCATTCTGCAAGTAATTCCTGGCAGCGAGCTGCGTGGCTTGTCAAAGTTGTAATTTAAAGAGTTTGAAAGGTCTCGTGGCACATTCGATGGCTGCACTTGTCAGGCTCGGAGGGGAGGAAGCTGCGAGTCGTCACCTTATGCAGCTGAGAAGGTGACCTCAATTTGTGAAATCTGTGGAAATAAGAGTAGTATAAAACCCATACTCGACACCTGTGGACAAGACGGAACATGTGCTTTTCAAGCAGCACCAACTGTGCCTCAGTTTGTTAAAGCATCTGATTTCATCACAGTTTTGTTGTTTGGGTTTTTTTCAGATGGAAGTTAATGACATAAAGAAAGCTCTTCAATCAAAGTGAATACTTGATAGGTGGAATATTGCATTATTCTTCATGACTGAGACTCAAATTTATGCCCCAGCCAAAATAACTTTGTGCCAAATGATTTAAGAATTGCCTCAACATCCCTTTATTTGAAGGATTAGCACAACAGTTTTTGATAGCACAACAAAAATACCAACAACGAGGACAAAATTCCCACCCGAAGCAGTGCTGTGCGGCACTAGTTGTGACTGAAATTGATCTTCTTGTGCTAAAGGCTCTCTACTTCAATATCTAGGTGAAATGAAAACTCAGGCAGTTTAGTCCATAGTGGTACTATTTTGATGATATTTTTCCATAAATAAAGTGTATTTCAGATTATCTGTTTACAAGCTTTATGATTTTGACTTTTGGTTTTTAATTGTCTTTTGTCACAGATTTTAAAATGTTTGTACTGCATATAGCCAGGAATGAATGTTAATGTTGGGGCTGGAGGGATTATTTTTGCTTCGAGATAGAACAGCCTACTTTTTGTTCTGGTTTTAAGTTCTGTTAAATATGCAATTTCATGTCCCCAGATCCCCTACAGTTTAAACTTACGTTGTGTACAGAAACGTATTTACAAGAAGGAAACAAACCAACAGAAATCCGGTCTTTGCAATGATTTGTGCCTTTCTTTGCCACACACTGACTGGAGCCGGTTGCGAGCCAGGTCTCCCCGATGTAGCTACCACGACGACTCGTGTCCCCGTGCCCGGCGGAGGTCACCTTCTCAGCGTACAGCTGCTCAGTCGGTAGAGCCAGGTTTGTGCGAGGTGGCAGGACAAAAGGGCGCAGCTGAGAGCAGCTTTGTCTTGAGCAGCTGTGGCTTTTTAGCTTTCCTGGTTTTGATAGGCCTCTCCCTCAACTTGAATGTTCATGTCCGCTTGATTTTCGTTAGATGATTTAAACGCCCGCCTCTGTCCCCAATTTTGCACAGAGTGAACAGAATATGCATTATTAAAGCAAAAATAAATAAAAGTAATCTATAAAACGTGAATAAAAAGTTGTATTATTTCATGCACAAAGTTCTCTATTGTGTGATATTGTTTCATTTGTTGTTTATGTGGTATTGTTTGCTACATCATGTTGTACACTTACAGACTGATACACTTTACAGTCTGGTTTTGCAGCAGGACTTTCTTTTCATCATTTTATTGAACCTGAGGCTCTTTTCATTTCCTCCAGTTTCTATGTTTGCTTTTGTCCTTTCAAAATAAGGTCTCCCGTTTTTTTGTTTGAGGTTTCGTGTGTTCTTTACTAGCCGCGGAGTATCTCATACCTTGTCAGCAATCTCTGTTGAGCTTATACAAAGCATTTAAATAATGGATGTTTTTGCATAGCATGGAGTGAGTGGGTGAGTGATGTTGGTGATGCTTCAGGGTGACAAAAAAAACCCACACAAAGGATCTATTTGTCATCTCATCAGATGCTAGAGCTGGCTCCAGCCAGCATATCGTGTTATCACGGCTAACCCCCCTGCCTGCCAGGAGCTGGATGAGACGTAGTGTTCAGCTGGCTGGTCACCTTCACATGTGGTTGGCAGAGTTCCCATAATCTTTTTGATATGCATAGATACATAAAATACACGCTCCACCGTACCCGAATCTTGCTTTATGGGTCTCAACTGGCAATACAGAACCTGACCGTGGGGATGATTTCCTCTGCCATAGCATCTGCTTCTGTTGTAACAGTGGTGTCTGAGACTGACAGATCGGATAGTGAAACTTGAGAATTTTTTTTAAAGTCCCAATACATTGCTCAGTGTACTCAAACAGAAGCACTAATAAAATATTTTATCACTGAAATGCCCTTATTTAACATTTCTAAATAACCGCATTAAAATATTTTTGTACAAAGAATGATAGTCCCAACATAGCTTTCCAGCAATAAAGATTTCTAGAGTACTTGCATGGTTTTTGTGAAGTTAGGAGAACAGGAGGAAATGGGGGATAAGGAGTAAGAATTCTGTTTGTAGTCATACATTTGGAACACATATCCAGAAATGAACAGCTCTGGCTTCCTAATTGCATCCCTGGAAAGAGATAAACTATTGTATCTGTGGTAAATAAAGTATTGATTCCTGAGTTGTACCTCAGAAATATAAGAGACATCTCAGAAATGTTCCATTTTTTGCAAATAAAAGTCTGAATTTGGCACAGAGTTTCCTTATATCAGATTACTTTTTTTTTAATCCTTTTGAGATGTTAACTTGTCATTTTATAAATCCAAGTTAGAAGTCCAGCATATCATGCTTTGTAAAAGGAAGTTAAATAAGATTTTGTGAAAATGCTTTGTTTTGAATGTTGATTATTCTGAGAGAAGAGATTTTGTAGAAGTACAAGCTCTTCTTGCTGCATTTTACTGTAGTAATAGAAGTATTTCACATAACACATGGATTTTCCCCTTTCAAAGAGGATCGATTATGCATTAAACCTGTGGCTATAAATGGCTGTTTTTAAAAATGTTTGGGCTTGTATTTAAAGAAAAACAGGAAACGCTGGTGAGCTATGAAGTTATTTTGATGTGAAATGATTAAATATTGTTGTTTGAAGAGTTGTGTAAAATGACTTTTCATTAATATGCACACACCAGTCTTGTGGCAGACTTCTGTTTACGTGTAGAAGCCAGGTGTGAAACACCAGGCTCATGCCTTTGGATGCTAATATTCAAATTCTTGATTTGGAAAATGTTTAGGTTATTAAGAAAACAGTCTAAAAGGAGCAAGTATTTCTTAATGTGAGATCGTAGCACTTGACACTTGGAAATAAGATGGTAAATATTCAAAGTGTTTATTAAGTTCTGTTACTTAATTAACAATCCCTTCGTAAATGAGCAAGAGGGTTAGATGCATCCGTTCTTATGCTAACAGGTCAAAGGGCTGAACACAAGTATATGCAGTAAATTTTTGTGTCCAGGTGTACGGTAGCCAGCTGCCCGGTGAACTTCGTGAGCTACTTAGCGTACGAAGCGTCTGCAGGAGCGCCGGACTCTGTGACAGCCAGGCTGTTTCTCTTGGAGGAGAAAACTTGAAAATTACAATGGCAAAGCAAATAAGGTAAGAATGACCAGGCTTCACAAGCAATTTTGAATATCGGAACATTAAAGAAGTATCTGTTTTCAAAACTCTCCCTGGTAAAACCCCTTCAGTTCACTGCTCCCAGACCTGGCATTTCATTTTGCTGTGGGAGATCATTTTCCTCAGGACGACAAGCTCTTCCCTGCGTGCTTCGTCCCAGCTAGTGAATGGCAAACGTCCTTCTCCAAAGGGACCCATCAGGCTCCCCTTCACCTCCTTGGATAACAGCAATGGAGAGTTTGGCATTGTGTGAGAGCACTTTTGGGGTTCTTCTTAGAGGTAGTGAAAATTAAGCTGGGCATCTGTCCCTGCTACAGGATGACCCATCACCTGGGCTTACCCCGTTCTGGGGATGGTTTTCATTGCGAAGGGCACAACAAGTGCCGGTGATAGCACAGTTCACACAATCCGTGCACCATGTTCTTTCTCCTAGCACAAAGCCACCAAAAACCAGAACAGCAGCTAAGGAAGGATAAGTAGAAAAGTAGGTGCACCTGCATGGAAATTGCTGCTGCTAGATAATTTGGCTTCTCTGGATTCAAAGAGCCAAATTTACTGAGCCCCGCTGGCAGTACAGGTGCAGCCATTTAGCACATAAAAGCACAAGGCAGGGGGAAACATGACATAGATTTTGAGACCCCAGCAAAAGCTGTGTTGGCTGGAGAAAGCTAGTTTGCTAATGGATGGCAAGTCTCTCACCGGAGGTTCAGGATGTTTGTGCTGTGAATACGCAGTCGTGCCTGGCACTGATCTCAGAGGAACGGAAAATTTCTGATGCTCTGACCTGAAGCACCTGTTCACCTCAGAAATGCATTTCAGTAACCTGTGCTCGGGGAGCTCTTAATGCAAGAAGGATGCCACATTACTGCAATGGCTACGAGCTTCAATATTGGACTTGGACTACCTGAGGTATGTTAAAGTCAATGAGGCTGATTCAGTCAAAGTGCTGATTCAGAGCTCCCAAATGTCACCAGTGCAGCAGGTACCTGTCACCAATGCACTAGCTGGAGCAGCACCGCTCTGTCCAGCTGGGTGCAAGTCTGGGGTAAGCCCAAGTTCTCCCACCCACATTTTCACTCACCTTCCAAATCCCCTGACTCGGGCCTCACGCTTCCTCAGCCTTCTCCTGCGTCATTATAAATGGCAGCAAACTCAGACTCTAAACCTCCTCTTGTCTTGAATCTGACACCTTCCTGCTCTGGAAACGTATGTGCTAGCACACCTGTGACACGTAGGAGGGGGGCTGCCCACCACCTCTGCCCATGTGAAGGTGCCGATGCTGCAGCTCAGGATTAGGTAGTTGCCTTCTGCCGGCTCTGGCTGGGGTCTTTTTGCAGGCTGGACTGAGATGTTGCTGTGCCTCCGTTAAACAGAAAGCAAATGGGATGTTCCACAAGCTGGTTTCGTGCTGCAATGGTGTGTGTGTGCCATGTGGAAATCTGCAGCTCGCTGATCTCATTTGGGGATGTAAGAAAGAGTACCTGGTGTTTGTCCTGCATGCGTGTGTGTGCCAGAGTAATAACCTTATGTTTTACTTCTCTGTTGCTGTGTGAACAGTTAAGAACACTCCAAAACAATACTGAATTCATTCACAGTTATCCAACTGGATTTAAATTTCTAGAGAAAAGAAGGCTGTCAGGTAACAAAAAGGATTACCTTTTACTACTGCTTCTGGAAATCTTACTGCTATCATCAGCTCAAGGCTTTTCTTCAAACAGCTGTTATTTGGAATTTCCCAAATCAAAGAAGAGGTGGATGTTTCTATTACAAGGCTATTAGCAAAGCATATGTGGGGTTCCTATGAAAAGGTCAGGAATGCTCTGTGCTTTCCGGGTGTCTGGGATTTGAACAGGAACTGAGTTATTATTTAACTTGTTTTTCACTGCGAAGTGCAGGAAGAAACTCTTGGTGCTTTGACAGAGATGTGATTTGACACAATGATGGGCTGAAGGTCTCACAGCATTATAAAACTTTTCAGGAATGATTCCTATCATACTGGCAGGTAGATGTCTGAAAATGGGCTGCATTTGAGTGACAATGTACCCGACCATAAAATTTTCTCACTGTACAAGAGTTGTGTGTTATCTGGCAGTGGGTTTAATAGCCTCGAGCGTGTGGCACTGCTCTAGCAAAGAATAACTAATACACGTTGACAAAGGAGGAAGACGAAGCGGCTGGCATCGCACTTTGTCTCACTGTCTAACCAGGACCAGTTGTAGACTGGTGTGCAGTAAGTATTATGTGCATTCAGGTCCCATCATTAAAAGTACTGAGAACTGCACCTAGCCAAACCCAGATATTAAAATCAGACCCAATGCTAATAAGCTCATACTTAGAAAGAAAGGGCATCATACAAGCAGAGAAAATAGTTGCCAGAGGTTTTCAGAATGGCTAAGGTGGCTCTCTGTCTCACTAGGTGCCTTAGCTGTACTCCTACCAATTATTGCCTGCTTCTCCCATGACTTTTCACACTGCTAGTTCGTGAATGTGAATTCCTTATTGATTTAAAAAAAAAAAAAAAAAGCCCCTATTTTGGACATTGGTAGATTTCTTTCTTCACGTATCAAGCTCGTATTTAATATATGTTGCAATTTCTTGACT